ATATTTAAGTGTACAGACGCTATGTTAAAATATTTCATTAGGCAAATTTTATTTCTATCGTTTCACTTTTATTTCAGCTCATTCTAAACTCGATGCATAAATACACCCCTCGTGTTCATATCATCCAAAAACGAGACCATACAGCTTCTATCATCAATCTAAACGCTGAAGAAATGAAGACATTTACATTTGCACAGACATCGTTTCTTGCTGTGACGGCCTACCAAAATCAACTTGTAAGTAAACACAATGAACGCAGGTGATACTTGGAAGCGCAAGACTGGGACGGAATTTATAGCCTCAAAACGATGTTGGCTTCTTGCCGCGCGCGTCGTCAGTAAAGTAAAAATGACGGGAACTGTTCATTGCGATCATTGAGGATGATCCTTTTTTAAAGTAAACAAGAAGCCAAGGCTCGTTTTGAGGCAGTAAATTCGGTCCCAGTATCACGAGAATCAGCTATTGTTCGATTTCTTTGTTCACATAACTTTCAGTGACGTTTTGTTGTCTCTTTAGTTCAGGGGTACGATAGACTTTGATAGACTTTATTTGAATTAAGCTATGTTTGACCAAAAATGGTGGGTCCCTTTTGCTTTAGAATTTTTATTTCTTCCATAAAATTTGATTCAAAAAGGTGTTCATGAAGCACCGCGCGGACTTCACTTCTACCTGACGATCTGATCAAATAAAATACTCTATCATATTTCTCACTTTCAAAAAGGTGTGTGGAAATAACACATTCGTGGTATCTCTATATATTAGAGATAAACACAAGTCAACTCGTGAGAGATCTTTTCAGCACTCGAAGATAAAATCCGTAATATCCTCTATATTGAAATWCTCGTAATAGACTTGGTCTCTGACGCAGTCGAAAACGGATCAAAATGACATCATTGATATATTGTAAATCAATTAAGTGTGTTTAATTTGTTTTGTGCAGATAACAAGATTAAAGATCGATAGCAATCCATTCGCGAAAGGATTTCGAGACACCTTAAGGATAGTGCCGGTCCAAAGGTATGTAAAACTTTTGTCTGTGAGCAGGCCCTTGGGGACAGAAGAGAGGAGAGACGAGAAAGAGAGAGAAAAAAAGTAAAGTAAAGAAAAGGCAAGAGTTTTCCCCAAACCTCAAAGTGCAACTACCTGCCTTAAGCCGGCATCAAAAACCAGTTCATAGTACGCATCTCTAATTGATGTAGTAAATGTTGTTGAATGTATATGTTTTGACAAATGAGTATTAAGAGTTTAAAGTTGTCCGGAGTATTTCCTTTAACAACAGACCTCATTACGTTTTCGGAATCTGAACGACGTTTTGTTTTCATCATATCATATCATTGTTTTTGCAATTATTTATTCAGTTTCTGTATTTAGATCAATTTTCTCCTCGTTATAATCCATTCCTATGTATTTTGGGCGCTCGCCATTTTGTGGTTTTTCCAACGTCTGTTGCATGGCTGTGTGCAATGACGAAGTATTCAAGATGGCGCACGGTCATCGAAATGCGTCAAAAATACAGCCCTTTTTTAACTTAAAACTTTTAACGCATCAAAGGATATATAAAATGATTAAAAAACTAAAGGATTTTAGTAGGGTTGAAGTGCCTGAGTTTCATAACAATGATGGCTTAAGTACCAACTGAAGAACAACTGAATTCAATGCCAATAATGAAAGGCCATCAAGGATAAAATATATTATCTATAAGAAAAAAAATGCTAAGGGCATTTACAGTGTGAAACTGCACACTTGATTGCCTTAAAAAGTAAGTTTAATTCACATAGATTGCGCTATGTAACAACATGGCCGTGCTATTAACCATCTCGCGAAAAACGAATTGGAAAGATCCAACTAAATATAGCCGTGTTATACGGTACCGTTTGCTGTTGAACTTGTTACGACGCAGTCGATTGAGTCAWGTTTAATTTAACAAGAAAGTTTCAGCATATAACAATCGGCCCTTCTTGTGTTATTGAAACAAAGGCTTTTTGTTGGTATTGAGCATGTTTTTGATTTATTACTCTTGGAGGCAAAAAACGAAAGGCTTGACAGATAAGTCAAGTTAGCTGTGAAATTTCACCGTCGTTTTCTCGTTTCAGAGAGCATTATGGCTTCCAGCCCGTCATACGCAGTCCAGTATTAATACCAATCGCCACACCAGCATTTGTACCTCGTAATATCTTACACAACGACCTTTCAACGTATTCTATCAAAGAAGCCGACAAGCTATCGTGTGTAGCATGCAAGCAACAGTCATTACTACACGAAGGTACTTCACCTCTACCTCCTAAAAAAATTATAACAAGCAGTAACATTTCTATCGGTGTGTTGACTGAGTGATTCAAATCGGTATATTTTATCCCAATTTTTTTGTGTTAATGCCTCAAAATAGTAATTAATTAGGAGCCGACGGGTTTCTGAAAGAAATATATCTGTTCTYATGTCCCAGCCAGCTATAAGTCACAACATGGTTGCCAGCATGGAGAAATTTAGGAAAAAAGAACTCTCCAGGGAAGGAATACTCTCTAAGAATATATGCCAGGAAAATAAAAAWTTCATAACTAAAAAAGATGTACGCCTTTTTTGGCAAAAACGTTTGCCAGGAACAAAATTATTTTAAGGAAGGAAGGGTGCCACATTTGCTGGTGAGATCAAAATCCCTTTCCCAGGAAATTCGTACAAGAACAGAGATATTTATAGAAGAACAGACCCGGCTTCTCCCTGATTAATTGATTCCAATAACTATTACAAAACAACAAAACTKATTGCAATGAACATCGAATGGTAACAGCACTGAAAACAATAGCAATAACAACACCAACAATAAAAAAATACAAACCACGAATTTGTTTTCGTGGTGCAACAAATATCAAACAGCTATCACTCGTTGACAATGAGTTCAGTGATAAACATTATTACCGGAAAGTCCTCCAAATAAGCAAAGTGAATACCTCTCATTAATAGTCCTTATAAACATCTGGTGCTATCCAATTAACAGAAAAGTGGCTCTGTCTGATATCACTCAAGTGTATATTTCCTTCTCTCTCAGGATCACCATCGCTKCGCTCAGTAGCTTCACCAGACTTTACTCCGTGCTCACGGCATAGTCTACTCTCTTATCCAACAAGTTTACATATAAGGCAAACGATTGATAAACCTCAAGGATCYCTAGCGTCAGCTTTTTGTACTCAAATGCCTCATTGATGGCCGACCTCTYGGTTAGATTGGTTCCTTTTGTAYAGAGAATTATTTCCTGAAATCTCTCCACAATTGTCCTATTTTCCCTTCAGCAATTCGTTTGCGTATGTAGGACAATTCTTTATGACTCCAAAGAAGCCAAGGACCTAGTATATATTATGTATATATATTCTAACTATTTATTGTAAATACTTTAAAAAGAAAATATAAACACAAAGTTATTRTACTATTCATGCCGTCTCCTATTAAAAACATTTCACTTTTAAGGCATAGCAACTTGGAGATTGCTATKGCCCGGGGGGAGGACTCCCTTATAAAAGTTAGTAGGTATGCTCGACGGATCTTTTAGGGACGAAAATAAAACCCTCGTGTACCTTTTAGGAGTCCTGAGCTGTCTCTGTACCTTTTAGGGTCAATTTTCGAAGAACGTGGAAAAAAATTGAAGAAATGTTATAAAGAAATAGATTTTATTAACCTCAACAACAGTCAACGATCTATCGACATTGATTTTSTACAGTTTGTTAAACTTGGGCTTTTCTCTTGTTAAAGACGTCAAAAATGGTCGYACCTTTTAGTGATCGATACCTGATTTAATTTATGCGTACCTCATTTTTCAGTCCTCCGTCCGTCGAGCATACCTACAAACTTTTATAAAGTTGCCCCCCTCCCTCCGGGTGCTATGGCTTATTAGGTTTGTTTTTATGTTAGTCAGTTTGTAAAGATGAACAACTGTTATTTGTAAAGGGCTAGCTAAGTAGCTCATTTTCGTAGCTCATTTTCTCTTGAGCAAGCTTAACAGAAACGAAAAAAAAATTACTCGTGAACGAGGCCTACAACGCACTCACTGGTGTTAAAAGGGGTTTATCATAGAATTTATGCTCTGTTTTTTTCGTCGACACTAAAGAATAAAAGGTTAAGAATTTCACAATGAAATAGTTTTTAGTGATTTTTAAAGGTCTTTATACAAAGGTTTTCATAAATCAGTAAAATATACTTTCAGCATTTATGGTACGCTTTTAAGAATATCTTATATGTACTTTTTCGATTCTTTTGCTCATTTTTATTTATTTATTTAGTTTAATTTTATTTTATGTATTTCTAGTGACCAATCACACTTACATGTTGGCTATAAACACCAAGAAAATCTGATTGTATTTTGGCAAATCATCCGGTGTAAAATACCCTGAAATTATACTGTTTATCATTCAGATATCAACTGGCTTGCCTTCTAGTTGTGATTATATATCACCACCTACTTGATTYATTCAGGCTGACCACGTCTTTAGCATATTTTCACTTGAAAACCAAAGGTTTCTAAATGAGAGGTGTGCCAAGTGTTGTTGACACGRCTAYAGGCTTGAGAAAGATTCGTTTGATGTGGTTCTCATTCGGGTGGTACGAGAGRGCCACCCGAGTACAACTATAGTTGTAAAAATGCCAGAAAACAAGGCGCGGGGCGTAGCCTCTCGTTGATCCAAAACTTGAGTTTAGAGTTTTCGAATTGTGATGAAAGTTTTTGAAATAAAGAATATCCTAGTCGTTATCTTTTTGACAAATTCAGTACAAAAAACTGAAAATACCTAAGTAATTACCAAACTATATTTAAAGTCTGTTCGTATGATACTGGTATGACTCGATGTTGTTGTATCAATGCTAAACAGTCGAGGTCGCCTATCTTTTTTTTAAAATGTTCTAGCGTGTCAATGTAGTGTATACCTCTTATCAGTGAGRATCAGATGGTTGGACAACACATTTGAGTTATTTTCCCAAGCCTAAAGGTCAAATAATCTCTTTTGAAGCTCAGACTTCGCTTATGGTCAGATCAGCTTACTACGTCATTAAGCTAATTAAGTGACTAATGTTTGCACTATCTACTTAAGCCGGCTCTGTCGGGACTGCGCAGTATTTATAAACTGATAAAAAGGAGATCATTTGTACAAAGTTCAAGGACTTGATAATGTGGCGAGGCTTTATTTGGGTTTGTGTTTTGACTGGTGCGATTTCATCGAATGTGTTGAKATCTATTAGGTTGTCACTACATCTTCTTGGCGGAGCCTCAAAACACTTAGCGAGAAAAAGAGATTCGTATCTCGACGACTACAGRCAGGCATAGACGCAACAAAATAAATAAAGTCTTAACAAACGTTGGCCGCTGTTTGGTCTTATCCACTCTCCCTACCCCCGTTAACTGTACCGAAAAGAATTATGGGTAAAAGTCTTTTGAAGATTGTCTATTTGGCGACATTTGGCCTTGAAATAAGGATCATTGAGTTTCGTCATAACATGAATCTCTTCGGATTATCTTTCATTCTCTATTTTCTTGTTTTCGAATCTTCATGGGTCTTGATTACAAAATATGGTCATTCATATCGACTTTGCTCTTAATGTGAAGACAATAGCTACGCTTTTTCTCTTGTTTTTTTTTTCGGAGTCTTTCGCCCAATATAAAAAGAGGCCGCGCTAAATAAGTTATACACCATCGAATTAACGTTGTCGGTTCGAAAAAAGGTGAAGCAAAACCGAAGGGGAATTAAAGTACTGAGATTATACCATTATTYGAAAGAGTCATTTTATTTAGTGTAGGTGATCTCCTGATTCTGAAATACAGTTATATTCCTGATGTTTGCTTTCGTATATCTTTTCGGTATCAGCTTTCATGATGTTACCTTTTGGTAAACCCGACAACCCGACAAAGGTTTCTGAATGAGAGGTGTGCCAAGCGTTCTTGTCACGGCTACAGTCTTGGATATAGATTCGTTTGATGTGGTTCTCATTCGGGTGGTACGAGAGGGCCACCCGAAGTACCCGAGTACAACTATAGTTGTAAATATGCCAGAAAAACTCGCGGGGCGTACTAGCCTCTCGTTGATCCAAAACTTGACTATAATAACTTGAAAACCCAACTTAGTACTACTTAGGTCAAAACTGGTACCTTTCTTTGGGTGTGACGAAATAAAGTCATATTTGATGACCAAATTATCGTGTTTAACCCCGTAAATAAAGTAATGAGATCTCATTTAGAGATATGTCCTACACCAAAGGGAGATACACTTTGCAATCAATGGAAAGTCGGCGAAACTGAGAAACAAGCCATCTCGAATTTGTCACACAAAATCGTTGTTCATCACAACTTATTAACCCAGCATGTAACGCAACAAAGACATTATTTGCAAAAGTTGGGCGAACGTTTTACTGAAAGAATACTTTGAAATGCAGTTGCCATCTTGATGACCACTCTTTTCACAATCAGCGTGTATGATTTTTCTACTGACAACGTGGAGGAATAGAGTGAAATCATCGTTTGTAGCCTTAAACAGCAACACTGATGTTGTACAAGAAGTTGTGGAAACTAGCGGCAAACTATAGTGAGCTACGTCGGTGTTTCTAAAGAAACAGTTGTGTAAAAAGATAAATTTAACAACGTAAAAAAATAACGTAAAAAATGGTGAAACAACTTAATGACGTTTTGGACATTAATCCTTCGTCAGAAGATTAACAAGGGATTAACCCCGAAAAACCAGTAAGTTGTTTCACCTATTTCTTACGGTGTTAAATTCATATTTTTTTACACAACTGTACAGAGAAGTTATCGTTCGGTGTTTCTGGAAATGTGCGCCATTTTTCTGTTGTTGTGTGTATAGACATATCTAGTCATAAATCGAGACTTTCCTTTATTTATTTACGAGCTATTTACAATATGACATTCAAAGGTTTTCATTTTGTATCAATAAATATATATTTTGTCAGTACCCTCTACATTATTTACAAGTTTTCATGCATAACATTATTGATCCAGAAGTCTTTATGAAAATTTCCCCAAAAAGATTCGCTKTATGAAAGCAAACGAAATAAAGAAACTCATATCACTAATTACATTGAAATTTAATCCCGGCCGCCATCTTGAATCATGAAGAAATTATGGGATGCAGACATAGCATCCTATGTTACCGAAATAACTACTTTTCGCTAGTAGTTTCCTGTAAAATTTTGAACTGTTGTTTCAAACTTGTGTTTTTCGGTGCTTTTCAATTTCTGTTTATGAAATTTTATAAAATGCGCGCTTTGATTGGAAGAAGTCTACAAAAAAAACGTGTGTCTCTTCTAGAGCACAGAATCGCGTCTTTGGAGCGTATAGTTGATGTTATTTTATAAAATCATTAAAACAGATATTTTCCGTGTTCTAATTCGAAACACTTGGGATTGTTGGTAGAATATTCGAAAACTTTTTGAAGGACTTGCTTTCATTTCGTGTTTTTTCTCGTGTCCTCCTAAAAATCCCACAAATTTCGTATGTAAACACGGAAAATATCTTCTTATGATTAAAATGAAATCTCATAGCATTATGCAGCATAAAAAAGTCTTGCTTGGTGTCTCCGAGCGTCCCATAGTTTCTTATTGAATCGATACTGAATYCAAGATGGCGGCCGTGTTTGTACAATAACATTCTTCAAAGTTTCATATTATATCAGAATGGTAATGACGCCGGAACATGAAAAGGCGATTGTAGTAATGATTCAAAGGTTTGTGATGGTTTGTGCGGTGAAAATGGCGACTGTGGCAGGCGAGGAAGAAAACCAGCTGGTGACAAAGAAGCAGCGAATGGTACAGGAAGGATTGGTGATCGTGGTAGAAATCCTAARAATAAAATATAATAAAAGCTTCAGAAAACAGATAAGATAGATCATAATTTACCATAAATATATTRCTAGATTGTAGAATCAATTCAAGGTTATCCGCATGCAAGGTAGCAGGGCAGAATTATTGCTTTTTGAACATTTTTTTCGATATATTTCTATAAATGTAGGCAAGTTTTAAATTTTCCGACATTTTGTTTCCTCTAAACACTGAACACTGTCGTG